AAACTACTTCAGATGAGTTTTGATGATGTCAAATCAATATCTGCTCAAAAAATAAATACTGGCAAATATTTTCCTTTACAGTAGTATTTAGAACTGTGAATGATTTCAATCTTCTTACTTACTCCAATGTTTTCTCTAGCAGTGTTTACAGGCTGACTATCTTTTAACCATGTGATAGAAGGGATTGGTGTGCCATTAGCAATGCACTGCAGGGTTACTGGTTTGTGTATCACCACAAATCTTTCAGAAGGTCCATTCATTTTGATTGTTGGATAGACTGTGGGAAAAAATCAATACAGAATTTTATGCAGAAGCTAGTCAAGTACCTTATACAAAATCTTTTACTTCTCTGAATGTGTTCCTATGAATTATCCAGCTGTTGCAGAAACCAATGAAAATAATCTTTTTTTAATTAGCAAACAATGGGCCAAGAAAAAATATTCACTAAATATGCAGTGATTACTGAAAATAGCAACTGGCTATTTAATTCCCCTTCTCATGTCCCAGAAAACACTTCTTTCCCTGTCCCACTACACTGAATGCTGTTGATGGGGAAATTGACAATTATGACAATAGATCACAGCGGATAAATCATTGTGGAGCAGTGGCAGAAAGAAACCATAGCAAGAAGGAAAGATTAGAAAAATATCTGAGTTTTGTTGAATATCCAAACAGCTAAGAAAGGTTTGTCTGAAAAGATTCATAGGGCAATACAGGAACAGGTTTAGTATTTGTGTACGAAAGTAGCCCAATACAATCAGTATATATTTCAATAACTTGCCTTCTATTTTTTTCATAAATATCACAAAGCTTCTAAATCCATTTCAAATCCTGAAATTCTTTTGCTATGTACTCAGCAAACCACAATGTATATAAAATGTCTCACAGAAAGGTGTATCCCAAAAGTTCCCCCCGTTTCTTTCCCAGAGAAATAACACACCGTGCACAATCACATCAAATTCCTTTTTGTTCTCTCCTGCCTTGTTGGTTGCTATACACTGATAATGGCCTGTGTCTGACACTTCAGCCCGAGAGATGAGAAGCCTGCGTCCATTGAGTAAAATTTTATATCCAACTCCTCCTTCAATTGGCTGGCCATTTTTTAACCATCTGGTGAGAGAAAAGCAGATCTTTAAATACTTATTTTGTATAAAGAAGGATCATGAAGCATGAGTTAGAACACTTACAGTTCTAGGACTAAGAGATTGGAGTGTCATCTAATATATGGTGCTGACTTATGGGTGCTGCTAAACGACCCCTAGGATTATCCCTAAAAAGGTATCATACTGTAATTCTACCTTAATCCATTTCTTCTGGAAAGAAACATGTGGTTAGTGATAGTGGGAAAAGACAGGAGCATGAACCAGGCAAAGATATTATCAATAAAAGCCTTGTCTAAAAGTACCCTCTGTGCATTTGGCCTGAGAACCCCTTCTTCATGATACAGAAGGAAATGGAGGCAAGCTGTATGAACCCCTGAACTTGTCTTTGGACTGGCCAGGTCTATGGAAATTGACTTCCATCAGACTTTGCCCAGTGAGCTGAGCAGTTCATTCTGCATGCTGTACATTGAGGCCTAGAATCCATTTTACCCAAGGACTCATGTCATTGCTTGCTGAAAATAATCTCTTTCACCTGCTGCTTTTCTAGATGGTAAAGAAAAGCAGGAAGGAGAAGAAGAAAGAACTCATTAGAAAGTAAAGGCATTAACACCTACAGTATTTTCATCATATCTAGAAATACTGTACAATTGCAGCTGGGGAAACAAAAACTGAGTAACTACCAAAAACTGAACATTCAGGATTAACTGGAGGGCTTAAAGGTTCTTCCAAATGATGACTCCTTCAGTTGGCAAAGTCTTCTGATTTCACATTTGAAACAGAGCAGAATATAACTGCACTGCTCTGGCTATTGAAGTTACCAGGGCACTACAGACACCTGTGCACTGAGAATCTATAGTATTTGCACAGAACCAACAGCCAATCACAATGTATCCTTCCTGGCCAATAGGTGACTGATTGTCTCAAGGGCTTTTTCTCCCACCAATTCTTGAGTCAGGAGAATAGTACGCTGGAATAAATTGCTGTGCTCCCATAGCTGATTCTTCTTCTACCTCAGTGGCAAGGCCAGGGAGGAGTGCTGTCCTTACAGATTTAAGAGGGGACAAATTAAAACAAACAAACAAACAAACAAACGGTAAATTCCCCTGGCTTACATTGTCCTCCCACCAAATGTCACCAGCCATCAGAAAAAATATCCACCAGGGGGTAATCCTGCATGTGGCGATTAAATTTCCTGTAGCAATTTTTTAATTTAAAAAATCCCTTTATGAAATATCATATGGTTCTATCACTTCACTTTCTTGGTAACTTTACTTTCATCCAAATCTCCTGTATAAGCAAGTCTTTTTTTTTTTAATTGAACTATAATCTCTTACGTGATCATAGGCAGGGGTGTTCCTACTGCTGGACATTCCAATTCCAGCTGGTTGTGGAGAATCACAATGTAGTCTGAAGATTCATTTCCTCCTTCCAAACTTGGTGGAACT